AATGATTTTTATAGGTCATGAATTTTTTATCCAAGCACGGTGACGAGTACTACTCCAAAAAGGTGATAAATGGTGTCTCGGAGATTGGCGACAGAGAGGCGAGGCAGGATGCTTTGTGGGTATTTTCTTGAATAAAAATACATTTAGATTCGAGTCGATGTGTAGTTGGGACGATCTCTAAATGGTAACGGTTGACTCTTACAGAACGTTTGCATCACGATTTGAGACTGAATTCCTATTCCTTCTGGATGGAGATGTTATGATAACGAATGAGAGGACTCTACAGATTCTGATCGAAGCGTCAATAAACTACGAGTTGTAGGTTACAGTTTGTCAGTTAGCTTTCTCGGTCGCATGCTTTGACTGTAAAAAGATTGGCTTACTGGAGAATCTAAGGAGAGAACCTTTTTTTCTTAAATCTGGGTGATTAGAGAATAGTAAAGTGGGATGCTGTGGAGAAACACTTACCTTTAGATTTCATATTGAATATCTTTGTGTGATCAGTCTGTTGGCTCTTACAATTTTGAGGTAAACAGTCGTATTTTGCCAAAAAAAAGGCGTTCCTCTGATGTTCAGATGGAAACTGCGGCAGCACGGCAATTATTCTTCGAATATGAAAAGGAGTGTATCGTATTTTCTCAGTTAATTTTTTTCAAAATTGCGTAATTAAGGATTTGTAAACCTAATAACATTCGATTTCTTTCGAACTCCATCGTAATATGAACTTGAGCTCAATTCGATTTTCAGCAATGAAATCATAAGTTTACTGACGGCACCTATTACGAGGGAAACACCCTTAGTACTTCAATGGCAAAGTGGGGGATACCAAAATTTGAAAATGTGTGATCAAAACGCAATTATTTTTGATTGTATTTAGGTTCACCATCCAGCACTATCATTTTGATGGTATATTTGATAATATTCTTAAGAATTTGAATTTTCAGTATAATTTTGTATCTTAGATGCATAATTCTGGATGAATGCAAATAGGCAGTTTTATTAGTAGCACTTACAAAAAACCAAAAAAAAATCTGCATTCTCGATCTTATTGAGTGTTTACCTCCTAAAAATTTCTATAAAAAGATGCAATCTATGTTAATTAATCTCTATCACATTTCAGCAGTTCTACAAAGTTCTTTTTTTTTGTGGTCATTTACACCTATATGTCCGCTTTACTTTCG